AATACAAGGAAAAGGCACTGCGGATGTGATTCACTATAGGTTATTTATTTATTCACTTTATATCATTCACTCTGATACACATTTTTCAACATGGAACATCCCTGAAAGGTGCATCTTACAACTACTGACAGCAACTTTGACTTGCCATGAGCAAAATTCAGTTCTTTTTTGTTGTTGTTGGTACTGGAAAGCAAACTCAGGACCTTGTGCTTGCCAGGCAGGCATCTGTGCCACTAAGCTATATCCCTGGCCCCTTAAAATTCAGTTCTTAGGGAAAAGATCTACATTTGTTTCTGACAGTTACCTGAGAGCATCACCAACCTGATCCACTTAAAATTAAATTATCTACGAGTAATCAAAACTGCAATTTAAAGGAGGAGAGGGGATTTTGTTTTGTTGTGTTCTGTTTTTGTGGTACTGGGGATTAAACCCAGAGCCTTCCCACTGAGCTGCATTATTTGTTTGTTTGCAAGACATGATCTCAGTGATGACTAAACTGCCCGGGGCTGTGCTCAAACTTGCAGCCCTCATGTTTGAGCATCCTACTGCGCCACTACACCTGGCGAGAAGGAGAAGTTCAATGTGGGTCAGAGTTTCAGGAGACCCGGTCCACGGTCAGGGCCTCCACGGTAGGAACATCATGCCACCAGCAAGCAGAGCAGGGAGCAGTGCCAGGGAAGCAAGGGTAAGGGACCACACACAATACCCAAGGTCAAGGCTCCACGAACCACGCTGCCTAACCCCTAGGCAGCTCCCAACACAATCAAGCTGCCACACTTAAGTTTAATCACCACAGTACTTGAAGATGTTGGGGCCACACCAGTAACTTGTATTCCGATCCCAAACCAGCTTATGATTCAAATTCTTCAAGCAATAAAGAAGATAAACAGGCTTACCAAATAACCCATCAATTCCACTTCTAGGTACATATATCAGAGAATTGAAGATCTAAATTCACACAAAGACTATACTCAATTATTTTACTTATAATAATCAAAAACTAGAAACAAATATCCATCAGCTTATGAACAAAATGATTTATCCATAATTATTATTCACCCATAAAGAGATAAAATACTGATACACACTACAACATGGATGAACCTCAAAAGCCAGATACACAAGAGCATAATCTATATGAAATGCTGACAGAGATAAAATCTATGGACAGAAATTAGATTAGTGCTAACTATTGCTAGAGGGGGGAAAGGGGAGTTACAGCAGAGAAAGGCACAATTATCTTTTTAGATTTATAAAATATTTTAAGCCAGGCGTGGTGGCACACACCTGCAATCTCGGCACTCAGGAAACTGAGGCAGGAGGATCACCATGAGTTAGAGGCCAGCCTGAACTACACAGTGAGACCTTGTCTCAAAAAAAATTTTTTTTATAAATACAATGCAGTGGTGGCTATATACTTCTGAAAATATAATAAAACTCACTAAATTATATACTGAACAGAGTTATGGGATAAAAATTAATATTGTAATTGAGCTGCTCTTTAAATGATTTTCAGTAGGGAAAAATGGCATAGGACGTTTGTTCCTCCCACATACCTCACACCAAGGTTAAAATAAAGGTGGTTTTTTTGTTTGTTTTTGGTTTTTGTTTGCTTTGGGGGTGGTGTGGTTTGGTTTAGTTTCTGACAGGACTAGAGATCAAACCTAGGTGCTCCATGTTCAGCTACATCCCTAGTCTTTTTTTATATTTTATTTTGAGACAAGGTCTCATTAAATCACTAGGTTGTCCAGGGGGTGCTCAATCATGTGATCGTCCTGCCACAGCCTTCCAGAATGTTAGGATTACAGGTGTGCACCACCATGCCTGGCAAGTCTCTCTCTCCTCTCTTCTCTCTCTTCCTCTTCCTCTTTCTCTTCCTCCCTCTCCCTCTCCCCCTCCCCCTCCCTCTCTTTCTCTCTCAGGCTGGCTTTGATCTCATGGTGATCCTCCTGCCTCAGCCTCCCAAATACTGGGATTATAGGTGTATGTACACCACTATGCCCAACTACATTTCTTTAATGTACTTTCCCACCTAGCAGCTTTACTTTTTCTTTCCCTTAGGCGAAGTCTTACATAAAATTTCCCATTGTACCTCTTCCTTTCTTAGTGATAAGATAATATCAATAGCATCTTTGAGCTAATAAAATAACTGTCAAGCTGGTTACAAAAATCAAGGTAGGGAGGAGGGGAAAAGTCCCTGCTCAGACCTGGAAGGAAGAGTTGGGGCCAAAAAAACAGCAAAGAAAAATGAAATCCACTCAGCCTACAGTTGTCAATCATAATTGAACTAGTATGAAGAAAAGTATTAATTAAATATTTTTCCAAATATCATTTACTGATACCTCCCGTGACAGTTAAATGATTGTGTCAGTTTGAGTAAGAGATGCCTATTTCTTACTTATTTGGACCAGCACAGATCTGGGTGTCGCTGAAGGGATTTACTGAAGACAGAAGTAAATCCTCCCCCAGATGTGAGTGGCACCAACCAGTAACTCCTGAGCACGGGTGCGGGACGGTGCTCACAGTCCTCGTGGGGAGGTGGTCCGTGTGCACAGCACATCTGATTCTTTTTTATCTTGTCACCTCCCGCCACTGTCAAATTTAAATGAAATTGTATGTAATCTTCCCAATAAATCTATGACAAGCTGAGGAAACTAAGGCTCACAGAAGCTGCTCCAGGCCTCTCAGCTAGTACACGGCAGGCTGGGACTAGAGCTCAAGTAGCCATGTCACAAAAAGAGAAGCCACAGTGTTGTACTTTGGAGTGCTACGGTTGTGTGTAATATTTACTTCACTCTTCACTGCCAGGCTTTACCATTATCCACAAACTGGCTTCTAAAACCACCCCTCACAATGTGTCCCAGAACTCTATGTTATAGGATTACGCAAGAGATTGAAAAGCAAAGTTGATTCGAATCAGATGAAACCACCGTAAAGGCCAGGGGGACGGCGCTCCTGGAAGGGAAGAGCTAGGTTAGAGCATGGGCGGTCACAGCTAACCTGGCGCCCCTCTGCCTCGGGCTCTGTTACATCAAGTGCTACGGCAGTGTGTGGCTACAACCAAAGTAGGAGAACTCTCTACTGGGGACATTTCCACGGCATTACAAGGGAAACACGCAAGTATTTCAGAGACCATTTTAAAAAACATTAGGAAATAATGCACACCACAAACCTGAAAGAGCAAGATCATCTCCAGAAAGGGCAAATGCTTTAGTCTGGATCTTGAACTGCCCCCAAGAGCCATATGCTTAACGCCTGGCCTCCAGGGTGCAACTACTGAGAACTTTAGGAGGCGGAGGAACCTCTAGGACAATGTGGTGGACTGCGGCACACACGGGCTGTATCGCAGAAAGCTCTAAAAGGCTTGCCCTCACTGCTCCAGGAGATAGCGCCTACCCAGAGGACTTAGACCACTGCGGGTAGGCAGACCCCACTCCCCTTCCTTTCCCTGGCTCCTGGCAACGTGGTGAGATGTTCTGCTACAGCACACGCTCCCGCCGTATATGCGGGCGTGCATGCGTGCATTCACCTGTTGGTTCTCTCCCCCCATTTCTTTGTCCCCTTCCCTCCCTTCCCCTGGGGACTGAATCCAGGAGGCACTGGTTGAACTATACCCCAGTGCCCCTCAGTTGGGATTTGCCTGTTTTTTAACGTATGATTATATGTTATGATTATACACATGATTATAAGTTAAAGAAAAGTCTGTATATGGGGGAAGGGGTAAGGGATATAATACAGTTACTCAATTCTGACTACTAGAATTCCTATCCAGTTGATAGGAAACTAAAAATAAACTAAAAATCCCTCAGTTAGGATTTGCCTATTTTGTACGTTAAAAAACAGGCAAATCCCAACTGAGGGACACTCTACAAATAACACACCAGCTCTTAACAGTTGCTGGTGCATCAAAATACTAAAAGAGGTATCATTTAATCAGCAGAACTATTTTTCAAATAATGCCAGTGATGGCAATGCTACAGTTTAAACCATTTCACTTACACAGTACTGGTTGCCAGGTAAACTAATGAAACCCTTTGCAAAGTGCCCTGGACTGAATTGTGAGTCCTCACTACCACCCATAAACTCACTGCTGAAGCCCTAACCCTCAATATGGGGCCTTTTGGATGAGGTCACGAGAGTGGGGCCACAATAACTGGGATTAGCACACTTTTAAGAACAGAATCTCTCTGTTTGTCGTCCTTTGCCTCTCCTCTCTGCCTCGCCCTCAATCCCTGATGAAGACATAGCAAGAAGGTACCATCCATAAGCCAGGAAGAAAGCCCTCATCAGAACCCAGCCATGCTGGCACCTGAATCTCAGGCCTCCAGCCTCCAAAATGCTGGGAAATTATAAACTATTGTTTCAGCCAGCCAATCTATTATATTGTTAGGGCGGCCATACAGAAAGGCAACTTGAGATATGTACAAAATAATAAACACATTCAGCCTAATCCAATCATCCTACATTTGTAATAATCTTTAGAAATAATTCAAAAATATGACAATGCTACACACATGAAAATAGGTATTACTTAATTTTCAAGTTATTAAACCAGTAACAACCTTAACGTCTCACAATGGGCCAGTGGCCAAGTAAACTGGTATTCTACTTGATCTAATGTAATGTCATTTAAAATTATTACAAAAACTATATAAGCTTATGTTGTAAGTGCTTATAAGATTGAGTGCAAATCAAAAGCAAAAATCTACATTATGAGGCCAGCCACATAAATAAATATGGACAAGTAGTGAAATAATTTGTTGGAAAACTAATTTACTTAACGTTTCAAGAAATAAACTAAAAAATGTATTTGAGAATGTTAGAATTCTTTTTAAGCATAATCATATCCAAACTCTAATTCCAGAGTATTGACTTCTTTTTATTCTGACAGTTATTACTGTCAGAATTACCCCTAAAAATAAAAATGAAATATTTACATTTTATATGCAAGAACCATCAAATTTTTGCTACAACATATTTTTTGCTATATTATTACTTACACTGAAATGGTTTCCAAGGCATCTTCAAAAATGTCCTGGTGGGGAATAAAAAAAAAAAAATACAATGAGTTTCTCAAGAACCAAGAATTCTAAGTGTAAAAAAGAAGTCTGTATATAGGGGAGGGGGTAAGGGATATAATACAATTACTCAATTCTGACTACTAGAATTCCTATCCAGAAATCTGTGTGAATTTAAGTAAGGTTTATTTTTATTGTCATTAAGACTGGTAAAAATACCCTTCAACCAAAGTGGGCTTATTTCTCTTGCAGAAAAAACAATTTCAAACTAACTGGAAGACTGCACTGAGGAGTTAGAAGGCAACTTTTATTACACTGGCAGGCTGGTGGGAATCAGGTCCAAATCACTAGACCACGAATCAGCTTAGAGTTCAGTTTAAATATAGTTTGCAAGCAGGAAGTACAAGGCTGGTGACAGGTTACTACATGATTGGTTACATGCCCTGAGTTATATGTTGTCAAGCAAATAGATTTACTTAAAAGGAATTGTTTATTGTAAGATAAGAACATTCTGGGAGGGAGGGGAGGGGTGTGAGCAGAGCGAGTAGAGTTAAATGCATCTGGACTGGGCTGGTCTGTCCTAGACATGAAGCACTTGAAGCAAGTTGGAAACAACATATATTCTTCTAACTAAGGAAAAACACAAACGACACAGTCAAGCTGGCCCAGGCATTACCAAGGGGAAGCAGCTGGACACAGTCAAAGCTGACTGCATTTAGCAGGCTAGCTATGTGACGAGCAGCACCAACATAGTCATAGGCCATTAACTGATTTTAACTTTTGCTGTAAGATAGCTGTGAGTTGGCTATTTTATAACTGAGAGTTATGCTTTCGTCTCCAGTCCCACTCATCCCAGACACAGAATATAATGAATAAAAAACAAGATACACCACATTTTGTCTTTCCTTTCTGCAGCACTCACCAGCTAGCATCCTCTGGGTCTGCACTTCACACTAACTGCACTACCCTACGAGCGAGTCTTTCTGCCGCCAACCTTCCCCTTGGCTGAACACGGGCAACCTGCCACTAGCTTGTTCAAAGGCTACCACAGGAGACAAACCCAAACACGCACATGAATTCGCACACACTCACAAATCCACACATGCATCCCATGCTCATACACACTGACACACACAAACACACGTATCCCCCCTCAAAACTCCCATGTAATAGCACAGCTCCTTCAGAGCTGCAGAATCAAACCCAAGCTCCTCATCCAAGTGTGTGCGATGCCCCAGAACCCAGCCTATCCTCAAACCATTCTCGCTATACCCCTCCCACTATTATCACAGACCAAGCCACCAGGTACAACTCCAATAACTTTTCTTTTGTTTTTTGTTTTTTTTTTGAGACAGGGTTCTTCTACATAGTCCAGGCTAGCCTGGAACCCTCTGGTCTCAGCCTTGATTACAAGCACGTGCCACCACACCAAGCTTTTTATACGTGTTTCTTTGTTTTTTGAGGCAGGGTCTCACTACCTAGCTCAGCCTGGCCTCAAACCCACAGCAATCCCCTGCCTGAGCTTCCTGAGCTGGGACTACAGGTGCACTCCTCTATGCCCAGCTCCCTCCTCCCATTCCTGACACCTTGACTCAGTTCTGTACATGACAGCCATGGTCTTCTTCCTCTTGATAAGTACATCCCAGTCCTCTGCTCTCGACCTCTTTAAGAGCTTTGCACTACACTGAGAGTAAACCGAATTCCTTTCTGTAAGGCTCCAGTGGACCTGACTCTCCCAGACCCACCGTGCTTGCCAGCAGGGGTACTACCCTCTGCAGGGAACTCAGTCGGCAAGCACAGGATGTGAAGGAGGTAAGACAGGACAAGGAAGTTTGCGGGTCCCAGAACATCTGGGGACATCTGGAGAGACCTGAAAATTTACACCAGATGCTTCAAGGACTTCACCGACTGAGGTGCAAGACAGCCAGGAAACTTTGAGCATAGATGTTTATTAAAATCCTCCCCGCTAATGTCCCCTGCCTTCTTTCCATCCTATAAAGGGGGCCCACTTCTCTGTTTCCTGCAGGCAGCCTCATCACTCTCCGCCTGCCTGCACCCAGGCCAATAAAGTCGATGCCACGTTGCCTTTACACAAGCCTGCTGGTCTCTGCGGGTCTCCTGCTCTCCCCCGCCCCGTATGTTACACCTGCCACAATACTCAGGGCCCTCAAAAGCCTGTGGCCTCTGATCAAGGCTCTACCCACCTGCCGCCTGTCACTTCAAGTCAGCCACAATGTCAGCCAGTCCCTCTTTCTGTTCCTGGAACATGGCTCACTTCTCCCACACCTCTCAGCAGGATAGTCTTCTCTCAGAATACTCCCCACCCAGCCCTTCCCAGGGCTGACTCCTCACCCTTCCATTCCCAGCTCAGAACGCACTTCCTCAGGGTACACCTCTGATCCCCCTGAGGTCTATTCCTAGTTTCTGTCATCTGATTTATTTCACTTAATACATACCATAACCTCTAGTTATCTTCCCTATTTACTTGGTGACTCTGTCTCCGGCAGGGAAGGCTGTCTTACTATGTACCAAGAAAAATGACCCAAGCTCGGCATAAAGATGCTACTTACTAAACAACTGTTGCCTAAGGGATAAACCTGGGCTTGGACCATCATGGCACTTACCAAAGGCTCTGCCTGTTCTCCTCCCTCCTCACAAACCTCAACACAAACACACAGAGATGCCTGAGAGGACTTCACAAAGGATAGGGGAAAACAATTCTCAAAAAAAGGGGCAGACAAATTTTTTTTTTAATTTTAAAGAGAGCAGTACATGAGAAACAAAGAAACAAAAAATAGAACAGTAGTAGCATACCAGTATCACAAACACAAACAAACAAATGAAAGCAAGAACATTCAAAGTGATACAGGGTCTCAAGACAAATTAACACAAATCAACACTGGTTGTTACATTGCATACCACTATCCTCAACTACACTGCTCAGATTACCAGATGTAAGAATGAAAGATTCCTCAAACCATTAAAGAGATTAAGAAAATAATTCTTCAATAAAACATTAGAGATATTAAAGAGTTTCACTAGACAAGATGGTAGGAGTTCACCACTGTAATTCCA